GACGTCGGTTGACATGATGAACGCGCTAGCGCCGCTGCTGCTGCTGCTCACTAGTCTGGCAGCCGCCGCCCTAGCGCAGGTGACTCAGCGACCGGAACAAGGTGAGGGTCAGAGCTCTGTTATCCAGGGTGATTCACTAAAACTTCATTTTTTTGTATTTCGTGCCAAACAGTCAGTTGAAGGAAAAGGGAGAGAAGTATTTCTTATGAAAAGCAAGGTCATGAAGTTTTGTGTCCCGCCTAGCTAGTTGCCGCGATGCATTGGACAAGTGAGCAGCGTGCGTTTGCTGTCGAGGCGTACTTTTCTAATGGCCGTTTCTTTATCGCTACCCAACGAGCATTCCACACTCGGTTCCGTACTCGTCCTTCAGGTCGGATTCCTGATCGGAAATCGATGGGTACGTGGGTGAACACATTTAGAGCGAGTGTCAATGTGAATGCAAGATGAACTGGAGGTCAGCGGACTGCCGCAACACCCGAAAACGTAGATAGAGTTACCGTGGATGGATCTTCCGCGACATCTTACAGAGCGCCTCATCTCCTTGAGAGGTGACCTTCTATGACCGACTCGATCCCCCGATTTGGCTCCGTGTGATTGTTTCATGGGGTTATCGTGAATAAAATATTTACAATGATTGTCCAAGGACCCTGCCTTATTTGAAGAACAACATACGCCAAGCCACCACCAACATACCCCTCAACATGCTTCAGCGAGTTGAACGGAGCTTCGAAAATCGACCAACTGAATGTATTGACATTGGATGCCGACATTTGTCCGATGTCATCTTAAAAACTAAGTGATACAAAATTTCAGACAATGTTTTTTCAATAAAATCATTATTGTAATGATATCTCTGCTAGTTATTTTTTATTGATCTTTCGAATCAGGCAGTTTTCATGAATCATCCTGCACAGTACAAATTATGCAAGGGAAATGTGCAAGGTCAAGTCGTACATTAAGTTGACAAAATATTACAGTCTGTTTGGTAACCAAAGTATTCAGGCAACCAAATACTATATTTAAACATTTACGTGTAAAATAACTTAATATGTCCTGAACTTATGTCGCCTTTGTGACGCTGCAGGCGATGGTGCGGCTGCAGTGATGCTGCTGCAGGGCTCCGGCACACCAGCGGCTACAAGTTTCGCGCGTCTCCTAAACCCGTTTCCGGAGCTGAGGAAGTTTACTATGTGCTACCGCATCCGCATGTACCGCTTCAGGGAGGAGGACCTTATAAATATACATGGAGGACCGCTCCTGTCATATGCCTTGCTTGATACTGATAGCAGCGCTCTCAAGATTGGTATGTCTTTGAAATTTTTGTAAATTTACTCCGGCTGTAAATCCAGAAATGGTTTTGTTTTTGCCAATTTTTTTCGGTATTCTTGCAGGAGATACTTATTTAGATTACTTCCACCTTTCAAAATCAAAGAAGCTGAAGCAATTGTCTCAAGACCATATAAATATATAATACTTTTCATTTGATATTACGAGTTTTATAGTTTTACTTATGGTGATGAATTTTTAACATAATTGTCAACAATGATGAACGGTTTGACATGAGCACCAGCTCTCTTTATGACCACCAGTTCAGTTGTGTCATGACGACGGTATTTACGTTACATATCAATATGGGGCAGATCACAGGCTGTATGGCTACCAGGTGTGCCTGAGTAGCATTTGTGCAACATCCAATGTGATCACTCCACTGTGGTACTGGAGTCATTTTTGCTTCACTTTCGACGACTCTGACAAGTCCTGGATTATCTACAAGGATGGAGTAAAGGAAGCCGGAGATAAACTAAACGACTTTTCCGGAGTGATTTCTGGATATGGAGCCTTCGTCATTGGTAAGACGGGTTGAAGATGTTGCCCTTAATGTGAATATTATTCACAGAAGGACACTTTTTCTGCAGTAGTTGAAACTTAACTAATATTTTAGCTTGTTTACTCTAGTCAACAAGGAAAACTAAAATGTATTTTATATTTGTCGTTAACCTTTATTTAACGATAAAGTTCAAAGTTATTTTCTATGGATATTTAGGTAAGTGGCAGTCCTCGTGTATATTTCTTACCTCATTCCAGGCTCGATTTTATTTTAATGTAGGCCTAAGATATGAAAAAATCGAAGATGAATCGGTGGCTGGCGACCTCAATTTTTTTTCACATTGATTCGCTCTTTTGGTGAAAATATAAAGTGATCTTAATTGACCAGCGATTGTGTTAGCAGAACAGCATACTTATTTCTATTCTTCCAGTTATAAGTTGATTCTGACCAGGCCAACAACAAGATAATTTCGGAGGTGGTTTCGAAGGAGACAAGAGCTACAGCGGAGAGATCACACAGCTCAACTTTTGGCACCGAGTTTTAGACGCATCGACTATCAAAAATGTAGTATCTCATACATTAAACTTTAAGAAGTAACTGAATTAATGTCAATAGAAATTTAAATTAGGCAAGATATTTGCCGTGAATAGACCGCTGTTTGAGCACGCTCATCATATGGGATTGAGTTGAATAATAACATTTGGTGGTCTGATGTATAGTCTATAGATAATAGAAAGCACAATGATTGTATTACTAAAATTGCAGTTTACGAGTATAGAGGAACTCACGAATTTTTTACCCTTATAACCTGACAGATCGCCGAATGCCGTGATAAAGATGAAGGTGATGCGTTGGCGTGGTCAACACTGCGCTGGAATATCAGTGGAGAGGTTGAGTGGCTTGTACAAAACTTGACTACTCTCTGCTCATCGTCTAGGCGAGACTTCATCTTCTTCTCAAATCGGTTTCAGTTAAACGAGGCTCGGGCTATGTGTAAGGTGATTAAATAAATAACTGTCAGCATATGTTAATCCATTTGGACATAAATTTTTTGATGCTTTTTAAAACTTTTCAACTAAATTTGAATTTTCGATGCTATGAATATTGTGAGATAAGAAGGGAAACGTTCACTCATATTTGACAGTTTATTCCAATGCTCATCCGCATTTAATAGCATTTTAGTTGTATATTTAGAAGTTTGATGCGCAATTATGAACTTTTATATCTAAAATTTAATATTTGTAGCATAATGAGCCAACGAAAATGCGTGATCCGGAGAGGAAGTATGGATAGATCATTTGGGCGGCAGGTGTAACCTCGGGGGTAAAGAGTAACCTTGGGGGTTCAAGGTAAAGAGATGTCATTTGAGTATCAAGAGAGGCATAGTCGATAGAGCATCACGTGTGTTCGTCTACAAACAAGTTAATTGAAAGAAACGGTCATCGATAGAGAAGTGTGCGAATAATTTTGAATGAACTGGTTCTGTGACACCAGGGACTGCACGAGGAGGTGATCGAACAGTACGAACGTCGGGAAACCACGAACTCTTGTGTCAAACAATAATTGCACCAGCATGTCGTACGCTCAGCTAGGCCGGCATGGCTTCAGTGGCTGGACGCTCATGTTCAAAGTTTTCCTTGGTCCTTCCCATCCTCGTGCAGCCCCAGTTCTCAAAGAAACTGTTCACTAATTATTCGTCCACTTCACTATCGAATGAAACTCTGGAATTAGACAATAAAGACCCACGTTGAAATGATTCAGAAAACTATGCTGTTTTTTAATGACAGAAGGGCCTGTTTCAATAAACTGGTTGTAGGTCAACACGTGATTCTCTATCGACCACTCTCTCTACTGATATTACGTATCCCCACGAGCAGACCCCTCTACTCTTCCCCCACCAATTAAGATCGTTTATACATCACGTGTTGTGCAGCTCAAATCACCCATACTTCCCTGTTGAATCCTGTACATTAGAATGAGAGCAGCTTATTTTTCGAATCCTATATTCCGATACTCTGCTAGAATTTCGAAATCTATATTCCTTAACAAACTCATTATAGGTTAGTCTGACTGGAACCAACAATTGAAAGAAAAAATTCACTCTCAATTCAACTTATTATTCCATTTAGATTTAGATTAGATTTATATTCGGTTTCGACTCCGTTTCCAATTGATTCCGTTTAGAATCAATCAAATCATGCACAACGCTTGTAAATAAACTCGAAAGCGTATTTCTAAATACATTTTGCTAAATTTTGTTAAAATGAAACAAATTTTTTACCAAATTTTGTTATAATGAAAGATGCATTTTTATTTGCTTAGAGAGTGGGTGGGGAGATTGGCATCCCTATCAACGACGCAGAAAACACTCGGATGTTCAACGAGACGGTCGGCTGGGCTGAGCACTGCTCTAATTACCTCGGAACATCTTATCTGTGGCTTGGGGCTCAGGACGGTAATGTAGAAGGCCGCTGGGAGTATTTCGAGTCCAATAAAACAATCACGTACCAAGGACGGTGGCGTGGAGGTGGCCCCAACGGAGGCACTGTCGAAAATTGCTTGGTGATGATGTATGGTCCTGGCATCAACGGACTCTGGTCTGATTTCGCTTGCTTTGATTCACATAAAAACTGCATGTTCTGTGAATTTAAGAACTACACAACAATGTTCCTAAAAGGGCCTCTCGTGTGCAAAAATTCGCCTTTCAACACTAAATACATCTTACGTGGAAGCGTCAATAACCGGCCTTCACTCATTGGCTACCGGCACTCCGACATCTTTTGGGACAACGAAACCCAAGCGTGGAAGCTGGTTTCGAAAAAAGTGGGACAGAATTGATGCTTGCATAGAGTCGTTTGTTTATACAATGTAATTTTTAGTATATTTTTGGAATTTGATGCATTTGTTAATACATCATATTCCTTGAATTGAAGTAGGAAAATCTCCAATGAAAAAATGTATTTTAAACACTTTACAGACGCCGGGGGCCTCTGCTCTGCACATTCCTGATTCGCCCGCTGATTATCCTTTCGGGAAGAAAACGTGGCAGGTGGAATCACAAATTTGTGGATACAGTCGAGGTGAAAAGGTTCAATTGACCTTATCGGCCTGTATTTTTGGCCAGTACACGTGTGATGATGGTTCCTGCATAGCCTTGCGCAATCTGAAAAACGAACGTTCCCTCAACATGCTGACGCCCGAGGAGGTACAGAAAATTTGGTTCCCGGAAATTTTCTTTTACAACGATGATGGAAATCAATTTTCCAATCTGGGGCAAGGATCTCGAGTTGAATTAATTGCTGGAGGAACAGCTGTCCAAGGAGGATCAGACAACTCGGACGAAGGTACGTACTATTTGCATAGAAAATGTAAAAATATTCAATCAGTTATATATAAAAAATGATACATATATCTTATATAATAAGAACAGTTATGGTGCCGTGATAATCAAATACAGTATCTATGAATGAAATATCATGAGGTCTCATACAAAAATGGATAGTTTTTTAATCAAGCTTTTAAATTTCACAAGCATCTTCTCTTGAATTTCGCAAGAAACTTTGCTTTGATTGCGTACTTATTCAAATGTTTGCTATCGAAGTATGTTGTAAAATGTCGTCGAACTACGGAAATCTAGAAGGGAATGCTCATCTGCCCGAGCTACGGAAATCACCAAGATCAGTTGGTGATTTCTGCAGACACTATTTCAATCTTATTGTATACAATACATATTTGAGCTTCAAGTGTCTCTATTCAACAGCGAACATAATCAGTGAAGGTGTTGTGGCGATGAGCCAGCGCTACAACGTCCACTATTCCTGTGATTTTGATCTTCTCATGTTTCCATTTGACGCCCAGGTGAGGTGGACGATAACTTCTCCTATTGTTATTTCTCGTTGTGCACAAATGATGATGGATCATTGATACTGAAATAAGATCATGATAATATCATTCTATAGAGATTAGGTATTGATTATAAAAATATTGTTAATTTCAAGTTCAAATCATTGTACATACACCATGCATTTTTTGACGCTTTTTCGAGTCAATTTGATTATCCTCTAATAATTTCTTCCTGTATAATTGGCTTCTATGACAAAACAATTTCAAAATTATTTATAATAGAATAGGTTTCTGACGTCACTCTTACTGGTATAATTTTAACTTAGGGAAACCGTGATGCATCCCTGTCTTCGAACGATATACTATATACAGTATGCTTTATAATTTGTTTATTCTATTTAGGACTGTCTTATGACCTTTGAGCTGACGTCGGCAGCTGCCTCCTACTTAATGCTCAGGCCGGATAACATCACATACATGGGCAGGAAGGATCTCGTAGAGTACACTATAAGTAAATTAGTTTGGAAAATTGCATATTTTGCCAATATTTGAACAGAATATGCAAGTTTATCGAAGGTTAGCCAAACAATGAATCCTACGATATTCATGAGACCTTGAAACTATGAAGATTTTTAGCTCGAGCATAGTCGTAGTTCGGGCACATGAGCAATAGTAAGAAATTTATTGGAATATAAAACGTTCTGAACTGGAAATTAAATTTTTATTTTCAATTTATCAATGAACATAGGACCAACCTTGAAACCGATAATGTTTGAAATTAATTTCAAAATTATTTAAAGTGGTATTTTGCTACATGACTAACTGCTGGCTGTGAAAACATTGACTTGTTCGGCATTGCTGTGTGTATTAGGAAATATGTGGCAAGAAGAAGAAGAAGAGAGAAAAAGAAAAAAAAGTATAGCGGCTGATCTTGTTTTTTCAGGCGAGTTCATAGAGATTAACAGCAGCATCGTGAGCGGGTACTCTCAGGTGAAGCTCGGTGTTCGCTTCGAGCGTCGCTACGGCTTCTACATAATCACTCAGTACATCCCCACGGCGCTGCTGGCCGTCATTGCGTATTTCACGTTCTTCTTCGGCCCAAAAGAGTTTGAATCGAGGATGAACGTCGCGCTTACAGCAATGCTTGTGCTATCATCTCTCTTCACTCAGGTAATCTGCGCATACTGAGAGATCTCATTGCTTCCCAAAAATTTCCTTTTAATATATAAATCTGATGGATAGGTAATAGGGATAAAATATTTTTGTACTCGATTTAACAAACTCGAAAGTACCATTACAATCGGTTAAGGGGAGTGTCTGGGGTAAAATTTTGAATTTTGGCTTTTCCGGTTTTTAGTCTCATCTGAAAGCTGACATTCTGCTCTATCCAACGGTACAAAAATCATCTCTGTACGTTGATTTATGCGTTCACGACAGCTTGCGAAAGGGGGGGGGGTCGGGGGAGTTCTTTCACATTTTAGGTGGGCGATAATTCCCGGTAGCATGCATAAATAGCTAGTCCACATACCGTCATACGATGTGCTTCAGTAACCCGCCTGTAGTTGTACGGGAGGGGTTGCGTGTCGTCGCTCCCACCATCCTTGACTAGAATCAAGCTGCAGTAACGTTTAGTTTTGTATCCTTGCTACATTGAGTGTCTATTCCGATGCGCGCGGGACTTTGTCGCGCTCTCCTGAACATTCACACTTATTGTCACTGCAAACCTATCTACTCCTACAGTTTTGAAGTTACAGCAATGAGACATATACCATTCGATTTGCAAAGAAAAGTTCTACAAACTGATGGTTGGCTTTTTCCAAGTTCGTTATAGTTCGGATTTTATTTTGCAAAAAGTGGGGGGGTAATTGCCTAATTTTCACTATGTGTTCTGGCACAGCTTCTTATAGTATAATTGTACTTATTTACTCCGTCTCTTATCAATTATACGTGTGACTAGTCCTATGGAATGGATTTATTTTTCGTCATCCGCTATGTACAATTACAGCCAAATGTCATTGGGGATTTGAAAGACCTTCCCAACAGAAAAAAAGCCTATGTAGATGAGCAAGATAAGTTTAATAAAAAAGTAAAAAATTATTGTAAATTCTAGTCGTGCACAGGAGAATTTTTTCAGCAATTTTAATAAATCGAAGCTTTTGTTTCTATAGTGTGTATTCATACTCTCCAACTACAATGCGGTAAAAAAATGAATCAGTGAAGCTTCATTGGAAATCAAGAGAAAAAATTGCAAATAAATATTTCCAATTTGGTTTAACTTGAGAGTGTGTGTAATGATCTTTCGTGCCGAGGTTAAATAATGATCTCGAGTTGACACAATTAATTTAATATTAATGAAATGTGAACACTTAAATTAAGAAATCGAACAAGTTAACGCGAACATGGGTATCGTAATAGGGTACAGAACTCTCTTCTTTCATATATATGCTAGGGCACAGCATAGTAGAGGTTTCTCACATCACAGTAACAAATTATATACACAACACTGAGTCTTCTTGATAGCCTCTTGTGATCTTCTATCCGGGTTGACCTCTCCCTCTGCAGTTGTCTGAATTCACTAACTAGTCCTTGCTTTGGTCCCACAACAAGTCAGCTCTGAATTCTTACACTGCTACGGGATCGTCAACACCTTAACTTATTCTACGTCCCACACATTAGTTACTATGGTTCTTATTCTCCCTCTGTTTCCCAAAGTACACCTGAATACTCAGCTAAGATCCCTACAGTGTGCCAAGTGGAGCTGACTACCTTCCTTTAAGTTATTTACTTCTTCCTTCTTCCAGGCTTCGAAATCATGATGAATCTATAATAAGTCCGAAAGTCATTGGAAAACAAGTGTGACATCTTTTCCTTGCTCAAAATGGGAATTATGCTGGGTATTTTTCTAAAATTCACGAAAATCTGCCAGCTTCAGCGGGCTGGACATCTGAGACCTTCCGCCCCTTGTGGGTGATGAATAATTGAGACCTTCCACCTCTATGGTGATGTTCATCTTGACTTTCGGTGCGAGATAGCTAAATAGCTGAAGCGCTAGTAAACATTTGGCCACTAAACTAACTAACTAACTCATCATATGCCGTTCGAACGCCAAAATCCAGGATTTATGTCAGCTATCGCAACGTTGAATAATTAACTCTCTTGCAATCGGCCAGAAAAGAGGTATTGATTGTTGTTTTAGTATTAACTATATCAACTGTTAATTCACAGTGCGCAGAAAATTGTTTCTTTAGAATACTTTCCAGATTTTTTCTCCTGGATCACGAACATTCTTCACTTTTTGGTGAATGTAGCACTGGATTTACCAACCGACTTTATGGATAATGTAGCAGTAAAGGCTTTTCTATACATCGCTTAGAACTCTAGTTGGAACACATACTGACGGCGATGTTATTTTAGCTTGCATGGTAGCGACGCAGCATTTAGGCGATGGCTGTGTCTAAGAAATTCAATATGGAGTAAATGCAAACAGTAAATGCAAACTCCTCCACTTGATTTACTGCTTTTAATCTCGATGTAATCTAAGAAAACTGTTGATATGTCTCATTACTCTTATTAATATAGACATTTAATATAACATATTAATTACGTGTTTACGGAATGGTTATCGTAGCGAATTCTTACTATATTTCACTATATAAATATATTTTAAAGTTAACAACGATGTATTGCAAACTTATTTCCTATTTAACATTTTTCATTACATTCATATAATAAGCTGGAATTTCAGTTTTGCTTCAAGCAAAAATCAGTTATCCTCAACCTTACGTAACGTATAGACAGTTTAAGGTAGTTTCGTTAGCATTTAACGTAAGTATCCCATGTTTCAAGTGCACCTGTGTAATAACGTTTTTCATGTACTCGAAATAAATTTTTAAATGTTATAAATAAACACTCATCTAACCTTTTAGCTAATTTCACACATGCTTTAGATTCATGACTTCGAACTACTGGGTGCGGCAGTGAGGGCGGACGTTTTTGTGATGTGTAGTACTCTCCCCTATACCGTCTACGATCGAAAGAGGCGGATGGTTTCGTTTGACTCGTGACTCGTGAGGTCATAGCATTGTTCGTGCTTCAGTTGCCATGGTGCCTTGGAGTCTTGGACGATGGAACATCGCGTCTTTGCCTATGATTATTTCGTCCCAAATAATGAGTCAGTCACCGTCGTACAGCGTGAGTTTCGACGCTACTTCAACATTCACCGAAATAGAGCTGTTACCTCTCAAAACACCATCATTCGTTGGGTTGAATCACTCCGCAGGCGTGGTGAACTGATCAGCAGAAGAACAAAAGGAGCTCCGCGAACAGTTCGAACTCCTGAAAATATGGACATCGTTCGACAAGCCGTTCTTCGCAGTCCGACTCGATCTGACCGGCAAAATGCTGCTGCACTTCGCCTCAGTGACCGTTCGGTGAGGCGAATTTTGCATTTGGATCTATGCTTTCACCCATACAAATTAGCCATTGTGCAAAAGTTAGAGCCCAGAGATTATGCACAGCGAATAAACTTCGTACGTGAGATGGAAGCACTGATCGATGGAAATGATAACCTCATATTGTTTATGAGTGACGAAGCCCACTTTCACCTAAAGGCCATGGTTAACCAGCAGAATTTCCGTTATTCGGCTAATAAAAATCAGCAACAGTTCACGAAAGGCCGCAGCGCAGCCCAAAAGTAACGGTTTGGTGTGCTGTATCGCAAACGTGCATCATTGGCCCTTACTTCTTTGAAGACGGTGATGGTCGTGCTGTTACTGTGAACTCAGAGAGCCACACAGAAATGATGAACAAGTTCTTTGTCCCTGAATTCGACGGCGTCGTGTTCCAACCCGACGTGTGTGGTTCCAGTAGGATGGGGCGCCTGTCCACACAGCCAGAGCATCAATGGACGTCATCCGCCCTCTCTTCCCTGGTTGCCTTATTTCCAGGTTTGGCGATGTTCATTGGCCTCCTCGGTACCCAGATTTATCCATATGCGATTTTTACTTATGGGGAAATCTCAAGGCTAGAGTATAACCATCGTCATTTCTGTGTAGCGCTCTGAGTTCACTGTAACAGCATGACCATTACCGTCTTCAATAAAGTAAGAGCAAATGATGCACGTTTGCGATACAAGCCCCGAACTCTGGACGAATTAAAGGTGCCCAGCACTGGCTGCCAGTTCATCCGCCGCTTGAACTGTCCACACTACTGTCCTTGTGTATGGGGTTTCAGCCGCTTCAGAGGCATGTGCCGGCACGTGCCCGAGACGCGGCCGAGAGGGACAACGATGTGTTGATTTATTCGCTGGAGAAGCGGCTAGTATAGCGCTGATTCAGCCATGGTGAGAGCATTTGTGCCGCTCAAGTGAAACATCTTAGGTCAAGTGAATCATGGCTCGTTTGAACGATAATGGTTCTAAGAACACAGCAAAGTGGAGTCCAGACGATATTCAATTGTTCTCTGAGATATTCCAAAAATATGAATTAATGTGGAATGTTTGTCATGATGGTTACTCCAGCTGAATGAAGAAAGAAACGAGTATTTTGAAATTAAAATTTGTTCCCGACGTTGCATTTTTAAAGGCTAGAATAAAGAATATAAAAACAATTAAACAACGTACAGACTCGAGTTGTTGAAGGTGATCCCACTTTCCATTTTCACATACCGCACCCGACGGCTTTAAACGACGCACTGGCGGGCGCGAACGAGAAGATATCGGCACCTTATACTGCCCTCGTGTACAGTCTTACTTGTCGGATAGTCACCAAGCGACATTTGCCAGATCTACTGGCCGACTGCACTGTCCCCGTGTACAAGCACCTTAAGTGATTATTTGCTAAAAACCATAGGTACAAATTCCCTTCATGGAAATGAACCAACGAGCTAATGAGATTGAGAAATAAGCCACCAATACAATCGCTCTAAGCCGTATTTAAAACCGCCCAACAGTTCTATCCCATGCCGCCTAAATACGTATCTCTACCTCCACGCTTACCCCATCTCCCCGCCTTTTTGCACCGACTGCCGGACGGCTTTTCATAGTTACTTCATATTTTTCATTTAGAAACTAGACGCATTTGGTAATATAATTTGGAAACTAGTAATTACCCCAATTTGCGGCAGAATATAAGTGTATGTCATGAAGGTTGATTAAATTTTGTTGAAAAATTAAAATTCAATATTTGAAA